CTCCATACCCACCCCTCTCCTTATGGACATACCTGGGTAGAACATCTCCTTTCTTGCTGTCTATAGCAAGGACACTGAAGCCCTCTGTATGTGAGTTCACCTAATAAATGCTTTGAACTGATCACCCTGGCATCTAGTACTTCTTTCTTTGGAATCCCAAAGAGCCCCATCTCAGCAGTCTCTTACAAGAATGGTTTGGAGCAGTCTCTTACAAGAATTTCCCTGCTGCTGCTTTTGCAGAAGTTTCAGTTGTGGGTTTGGCTAGACAGAACAACTGAAAAATAAATCTCCCCGCTCCTGCTCATAAGCCATTCAAGCCCCCCAAGGATAAGTGTCTATTTCCATTGTCAGGCTCCAGACAGCCTTATGTCCCCCCAACTCCTCCTTGCATCTGGACGGGACAGGGAGGGCTCTAGGCTTGGCTGCTGTGGCCACCAGACCAGGCTCTACAAGGTCTGCAGCAGTCTTGCTAGCTCCAGACGGACATTCCCAGAGATGCTGTTATCCCACCTGGACAGCTGGCCTGTGAGCACCAAGGGAGGTGGTTTGGGTGCTTGCATGGCAAATCTGAGCATGCACATATAGTGAATGCCCAGCAGAGGTTCATCAAGTTCTATAACTTTAGAGCTGGAAGTCAACTCAGACAGCAACTTGTTTGTAGATGTACAAACTGAGATCCAAGGAAGGGCCAGGCCCAGCCAGGACTCCAAGGCTGTGCTCAGACTTCAGCAGCTGAGCCTGTCAGGAGCCCCCCTTTGCCACCCCACTTCTCCCAGAGATCCACAATTAGGTGAGGATGGGTCTCCTTCAGGGCTTGGTAGAGTCGATCTTTGCAGCCCTGGTCCCAGGACCGGCTGATGCTGAGCAGCATCCGCATCTGGCTCTGCTTGGTGGCCTCAGCCCGCACCCTCTCATACTGCTCCTCGCTCAGCACCTGTCCATGCAGCTTGTCCAGGACAGGGTCCACCGATGTCACTCGGGCAACCAGCTGCTCCCGATATCGATCCACGAAGTGCAGCAAGGACGGCACATCCAGGGGTGAAGGGGAGCCTAGCAAAGAACAAAGAAGGAGGGCTCCCACCACAGCCTCGGCCTCTGATCTCCCACCTCTAGCTCTTTTTACTCCCCTCATCCTCATCCCTGGCTTCCTTCTCCCTCTGCAAAGGCATCTGACCGCCAGAAATGCACCTCTGCCCTTCCTTGTGCCAGTGTCTAGCCTGGCATTCTGCCCTGAGTTGGGGGTGGGAGTGGGGTTCATGATGAGGCATTTGAGGCTGTCCCGTGGGAGGTGCTTGGGCCTCCATGGACAGGAGCGGGGGGCTGGGGAGGGACTCTGCCCTAGGGCATGCCCCACTCTCCAAGGCCTGATCCCTTGTGAGGTTTGCAATGACAGGGTTCCTTCCTTTCTCTTCGCTTCCCTCCAGGACTAGACAGCACAGCCCAGAACTGCCACTGCCTCCTGTGGTCTCTAACAGTGTTACTGACCGATTGGGGCTGGAGGGATCAGAGTAGCTGCAGGTCTGAGGTCTCCTGGAGCAAAACAGAGATGAAGAAACATCTTTAACGGGGGTAACTATCAACACACAATCTGTTTACTGAGCTACAAACATAGTATGTAGTTTCATTTTTTTAAATGCAACAGCGGTGCTGAAAAATTTTTTCATCATTTACATTAGGCAAATGTTCATTTATTAAACATATACCCCCCCACACACACACACGAGATACACCTTGAAAACCCCACTCACTTCTGAAATTTTTTTTTTGTTTTTGTTTAAAGATGACTGGTAAGGGGATCTTAACCCTTGGCTTGGTATTGTCAGCACCA